AGTGGGCAACTGTGCACTTTGCACCTAGGGTGCTCCTTTGTCATATACACTGTACTGCTTTTAGCAAGCTAATGAGATGCTGAGTGCCAGTTTATGCATTTTGGGAGACAACATATACAGGGGGACAACATATGTGATTACTACTGAAGTGGTACAAATTTTATTTGACTCTGAAATTTCTGGGCAAAAGCAGGTTTGCAACGCATTGATAAACATTTCCAGGTTAATCTTTTGTATGTTTTGTCATACATTCAGTTTGATGGGATGCTGTTTTTGTCACAGAATATTTCCATGTAATTGTAAAATAGAGTATTTCTGCGGTAAGGCTTGATGTGATTTTACACCTTTTCATTTGTTGGTGCTAAGTATTAGGCAACTCATGCTAAACTCACATGCAACCTTATCAGTAAATCCTTTTCATGGCAAAAACCAGAACAGAAATAAAACCACACCCATTAATCAAATAACATGTTCAGCCTAGGACATCGTGTCCTTTTCTTTCAGCTGAAGGTTTAACTGTCAGAGGAAAAGAGAAGCAGTGGAGCTCTACAATGTTACCTGGATTGTTTCTATAAACAAAATTATTAAGATAAGCAAAATGGGACAGTTTGTCCTACAAAAATGACAACAGTGATTAAATATAAGGACCACAATAAGTGGGTCAGGGTAGCTTAACTATCAAATATAGTTATTTTTTAAACCGGAACTTGCATAAAGCCTATATACTGATTGATTCAAAGTCACATAATAGAGGAAAATAGCAAAAATCAACATCAAGCAAACATAAACTATAACATAAAAATTATAAGGGAGCCATGCTTGTTTGAAAGTGAAATGTTATAAAAGGCGCAAAAATCCATCAGTCTTTCAAGAAGAAATAAAACACACAGGGTTTTCTTTAGAAAGTCTAATACATAGCTGCCATAATTTCCAATGCATCGTATATCATAGGTGTTTGTTGGTAACATATCAGAGACAGATAAAATAAAAACTCCATTAGGTTTCAACATACTATGGAAAATCGTTTTGTTAAATATTACTATAAAAGAAGGCTTGCAGCTTACACAATATAATCATGGCTCCATATATTCTGTGGCATGTTGAACCAAACTTTATATCAAGAAAGTCTGTGGCCTTATATTTTGTTGGTACATTTTATGGGAGTACAGACTCCTGAAAAATATAGGTTTTAATCTAATCCAGTATTAAACCAATCTATTTTCAATACTATATGAAAAATGGCAGAAACAGCATTGTTTATTTAAAAAATAATGCTGCTATATTAATGTTACTTTTAATATTTAATGCAATAAGGCACTTTCATGAGAACATATAAAACTAATTACTGCTGTTGAAGAAATATCATTTTACCATCTAGTGTTAATGTTACCAAGTAGTTTCAGCTTGACAGGTGACAGCGTGTGAAAGCAAAGTGTTTAAGAACTTGGGTGAACTGTGGTGTCAATTTATTTTAAAATAATCTGCCACTTGGTGTTTAGATACTGGCTTTTCTTCTGTGGGGATGGCTTGAGAACACTTTGGGTGGCATTTAAGCCTGTGGGACGTTGTTTTAATTCTGTGCTTAATAAAATCCTTCTGGGGAGACTGTGTTGAAAGAAATGTATCAGCAGTTTTAGCAAATTATTCTGAGTACAGAGAAACTTGAAATATTTACTTAGGATTCAGAACTGTTACAATAATTTGAAACCACAAAGTAAATGCAGTGTAAAGACAGTGCCAATTATTTTCTCTATTCTCTCATTACTACGATCTAGAAGAGTTACCCTGCTTTGCTTCTTCAGAGGGTGGTTCTGTTTTCTTGGAAAAAAGATTCAGCATCTGGAAAATTTACAGCCTAGGAGTGAGTGTTCATTGCTAGTAGTCTGTCTTCAAAATGACAAAATGGTTTGGAAGTGAGAAGTGTCAGAATAATATGTGTGCTTGCCTGTTTCGAATCAGGAGTGAGTGGGTCAGGTTAGGGATCTTTTAAGGAAGCTGGACACCCACAAGTCCATGGGCCCCGATGGAATGCACCCGTGAGTGCTGAAGGAACTGGCAGATGACATTGCTGAGCCACTCTCCATCATCTACGAAAGGTCGTGGAGAACAGGAGAGGTGCCTGATGACTGGAAGATAGCCAATGTCACTCCAGTCTTCAAAAAGGGCAAGAAGGAGGACCCAGGGAACTACAGGCCGGTTAGTCTCGCCTCCATCCACGGAAAGGTGATGGAACAACTCATTCTGGGTGTCCTCTTCAAGCAAGTAGAGGAAAAGAAGATCTTCAGGAGTACCCAGCACGGATTCACCAAGGGGAAATCGTGCCTGACCAATCTGAGAGCCTTCTACGATGGCCTGACCGGCTGGGTAGATGAGGGGAGAGAGGTGGATGTTGCCTACCTTGACTTCAGCAAGGCTTTTCATACTGTTTCCCATAACATCCTCATAGGGAAGCTCAGGAAGTGTGGGTTGGATGAGTGGGCAGTGAGGTGGATTGGGAACTGGCTGAACGACAGGGCTCAGAGGGTTCTGATCGGCGGGGCAGAGTCCAGTTGGATGCCGGTAGCTTGTGGAGTTCCCCAGGGCTCAGTACTCGGCCCAGACTTGTTCAACTTATTCATCAGTGACCCGGATGATGGGACAGAGTGTACCCTCAGCAAGTTCACTGATGACACAAAACTGGGAGGAGTGGCTGATACGCCAGAAGGCTGCGCTGCCATTCAG